GAAGGGACTGCGAATGGCTCGTGGTACCTTCAGGATTTGTGTGAGATGCTGGCAAGGCACGGCAGCTCCTTTGAGTTCAAGGTGCTACTCGTGCTAGTGAACAGAGGGTCCTCAATGCTGAGAAGCGACATTTCTGCCCCAGTCTAGCAGGTAAAGCCATTTGTCTTGTCTACGTGTATTTCACACACATTTCCCTTTTACAGAGCTCTCAGTCCATTGAAGCCTTTGATCTAACAATGTAAAATGTTTTCAGGCTTAAAATGCCATAGAAAAATGATGTTTTGTATTTGTTAATATTTAAACATATTGGGCAACGTGGAAGGGCTAAAAAAAAAAAACAGAAATCCTCAGGAAACTATCATGCATACTAGCATTTATTTCATTTTTAATGAACTGCAAGGTTACCCAAAATACCAGCTAATTTGTACTAATTTATTGTACAATGTTTTTAAAGATTTTTGAAACTCAAGAATACAACTGTTTTCATTTAATAGACATCTAAAACTAACATTTTAACATTTCCTAATTCATATGCTTATGTAATTTATAACAGGCATATTTTATTTGGCCATGTATCTTTTTTTAAATCTTGTTTAACTATAATTAAGGTATTTTGTGTATGAATTTAATTCCCATTTTGGAAAAAAATAAATGAACCATAAAGAATTTTGTTTTCAGGTTTCAAGATGTGTAGCTCCCGCTATTCTGGAACTCTCTGTAGACCAGGCTGGCCTCAGACTAACAGAGATCTACTTGCTTCCGCCTCCCGAGAGCTACGATTAAAGGCATGCATCACCACTGCCCAGCTAAGACTTTTTTTAAAAAAAGAAAATACATTCCTCCCAGCACCCATAAAGATGGCTTAAAGCCATCTTTAAATCCAGTTCCTGGGAATCCATTGACCTCTATAGGTACCAGGCACACTTGTGGGATGGTGTGTGTGTGTGTGTGTGTGTGTGTGTATTTTAAAAAAACCTTTTTAAAAAAAAAGAATGATAACTTGAATTTAGCTCCTGGAATTTACATGATAGAAGGAGATTACTATAGCTAGGGTGGGGAAAGGTTCAGAGATAAAGTGCTTGCCCCCCAAATGGCTAGCCACCTTGATCCTGAGTACTATAAAAAATAAAGATTATTCTGACTAAAAACTAAATGCATTTTCTGATTCTTTTTGCCAAGAGAATAAAAAGTGAGTCTTCCAAATCATAGTTAAGCTGTGGTTTTGAAAATTTATCATAAATTAGCAAATCCTTAAAAACAATTTTGTTGTGTTGTAATGAAACACTAGTGGCTGTAACTCAACGGTACAGCAGTTGTTCAGCACAAACAAGACCCTGGCACTCAATGCCAAGTAGGAAAATCAAAAACCAGTGTAGTGAGGCCCAGTCTCAGAAAACCAAAGAACAAAAATTAAATTTTAAATTTTAAAAAGAATCCCACACTAGATTACATCATGGAATTCAAGAGGAGAAAGAACAGACTAAGAACCCCCAATTCTCTGGAAAATAATACCCTTACAAGTCAACCCTAACAGATGTTGATGCAACTTTGAGTCACTGACTTATTTTTCCCAATTATCCCACTGCATTCCAGGTAAGTAAATTTAAGAAGAAATGTCTCATGTTCACTTACCTATTTCTATGCATACCAAGTCTAATAAACAAAATTAAAATCAAAATCAAAAGCCTAGGCTAGGGGTATAGCTCAGTGGTAAAGCATTTGTTTATCACATAGGAGACCTTGGGTTCAAACCTGAGCACCTCAATAGAAGAAAAGAAGCATCAAATTTCAAAAATAATAAATACTCTGTACAAAAAGAAAACATGAGAGCTATCTAGATGGTTCCACAGGCAAAAGAATTCATCTCCAGATCCTGAGTGTGCTCCCACCAAGAAAAATTAAAACCAGCTCCCAAAAGCTGTCCTCTGACCTCCACACATGTACCATGGCACAGGCCTATCTGCACACACGCCCAAAATCTAAGCAAAAAACAAACAAAAAAAATTAAAGGCACATACTTGGTATCCTAAAATATTAAACAGAATATTTTGTTCAAACAAAATTTCAGTGACAGAGCATTAAAATAATTATTTTGTGTATATGTGTGCATGAATGTGCAGGCATGTGAGCATGCAAGTACGCAAGCACATCACATATCCATGTGTTCGTACAGAAGCTAAGGCTTGATGTCACATGTCTTCCAGAATCACTCTCCACTTCATTTTTTGAGACTACATCTCTCTTTAAACATTGAGTTTATAGATGTCACCAGACTAGCTAGCTGGGCAGCAAGCTGTCTTCTGTGCTGGAATTACAGGTGCACCTCACCATGCCCAGCTGTTACATGGGATATAGGGATCAAACTGAGGTCCTCAGGCTTACCTTATACCAACTGAGTCACCGCCTCTGCTATCAAATAATGATTTTTAAAGTGAGCATCCAACTAAATTCAACACATAAAATTCTTACAAGGCATAATCAAGGAAGTGAGGAACTGCAAAGATGGCTCAGAGGTTAACAACACTGTCTGCTCTGCTCTTCCAGAGGTCCTTACTTCAACTCCCAGCAACCACATGGTGGCTCACAACCATGTCTAATAGGGTTTGATGCCTCGTCTGGTGTGCAGGCTTACATGCAGACAAAGCACTCACATACATAAACAAACAACCCTTTAAAAAAAAAAAGTATAGTAGCTGATTGAAATAAAATATCTGTAACTTATCCAAAAGCTTCTCACTAGCTCTGCAACTGCACAAATCTCACAAGAAAGTTTCATTCTTCTCCATCAAGCTCACACTAAAGTCTTCCTTAGTCATAATTTTTTAGAAGAAACGAACTTCTCTGTCAAAACATATATGGATATACACACATACACCAACGTGTGTGCGTGCACGCACACACACACACACACACACACACACACACACACACATTCCTAGCTCTCCAATCATCAGCTATCTGAAAGTAAAGTAACAGAAGGAGTCCAAGATATAAAAACATCTGTGAATTCTTATTTTAGAAACAAGCTTCTAAGAGAATGCCATAATAATGAAGCAGGCACACCAAGCAATCTTAAGCAAATATGTTTTTATACTAATAGGATTCTGGACCCAGCTCAATCAGATCAAACATTTAAAATGGACCAAAATCCCCAGGCTCAAGCTGCAATAGAGAAATGTATTTAATTGCTATAAAGTCTAATAAACCAGTCTTCTTCACAAATGAAAGATGTCTGACCTCTGGGAGCTACGAAGAGGATAATGAATACACTATATAATTAGGGGCCTACCACTAGCTGACTATAATCTATTAATTAGCATTCTCAGCCTCTGTATCTCACTGTACTGTCTTTAAAATTGCACCCTTTGTTTTTTGAACCGAAGTTAACCAATTTTAGAACTCTGTAGTAATTACAGTGGTGCGGGAAGAATGTCTCTGCCAGCACTGGTGTGCACTGGTGTGCACTGGTGTGCACTGGTGTGCACTGGTGTTTAATTAGAGCACGGGGTTACCCAGATAAAGCAGTGCTCGCCCTCTTCAGCACATAAAGGTTTTCTTGGCATGAAAAAACCTGTGGACTGTTTCTTTTCCAGAAAAATGGAAGTACCCATAACTGTCTTCTTGAAAGTTTAAATATTTTGCCTTTGAATGTAGTGTGATAATTGGAGAAAGGATACTGCGCTGGTTTCTCTCCCAACCCCCATACTTTCTAAAGCATAGACATAAGAAAATATCTATTTCAAAATTTAAAAAATGCTAGTAATGTTTTTCCTCAATAAAATACACGTTTCCAAGTCACTAGACAATAAAACTACCTTACTGGTCATGATATTTTCAGCAAGGCACATCGATGAGTAGGTAATTCAATAGTATCTTTGTTTAACACCAAATTTGCTTTAAATTTCTCTACAGACAGAGAGAGAGACTGAGAGACAAAGAGGCTACTCTTGAAAAGATCACCTTACACTAGTGGTCAGGCAAGCTAACACAAGGCTACGTAAGCATTTAGGGTGGAGACAGAAGAGTTCCATGCCATCCTAAGCTACATATATAGGGGAAGAATGCTGAACTGACTTAAATTGTTTAAAAGCATACTGAACCTTTTATTTATTTACTTTGGTGAACCAATGAATTTTTTTTTATTAAAGTTACTTACAAGAATATGTGTGAGCCAGGCGAAGGTGGCGCATGCCTTTAATCCCAGCACTCGCGAGGCAGAGGCAAGTGGATCTCTGTGAGTTCGAGACCAGCCTGGTCTACAGAGCTAGTTACAGGACAGGCTCCAAAGCCACAGAGAAACCCTGTCTCNAAAAAAAAAAAAAAAAAAAAAAAAAAAATGTGTGAGGGGTTACTTACAGGAGTAAAGATGACTCCAATGTAATTGTGTTACCAAAAATCCCACTCCAATACAGGTAATGACTCATGAAACTGTAACCCTGGAACACTCAAAACAATCTAAGGCAGCAAGACAGGTCCAAGAATCTCCTTCCACATGCTAGGAAACTGGTCTTCCACAGAACTGCATCTGCAGTCCTGTGTTTGTTTGGTTTTAATTTTGAGATAAGATCTCAACATATATACCCAAGTTAGCCCTGAATTCACTATGTAGCCAAGGCAGTACTCAAAAATTTTTAAGAGTTTTTTGTTTGTTTTTTTTAGAACTCACTGTGTAGCCCAGACTGGTCTTGAACTCACACAGATTCACCTGCCTCTGCATTATGAGTGCTGAGATTAAAGGCCTGTGCCACCACCAACCGGTTTAAGACTTTTTGTTTTAATTTATGTGTGTAAGTACTTTGCTTGAACATACCTGTGGACCATGTACAGGACCAAAATCTGGAAAAAAACTAAGAAAGTAGAAACAGAATTCTAAAGTAAAAAGGATAAAAAATAAAGGAACAAAGATGGGAAAAATCTAAGACAAGAGGGAAAAGGAATCCCTTGTTTTATTTATATATTTGAATTCAACCCATAAAGATAAATGTACAAATGAAACTAACCTGGTTTTCTTCCTTCACAACTCGGAACTGTTCCTTCCAAATGGTGATTTTGGAAGCTTCATCTTTTCTCAAGGCTCGCTCTTTCTTCAGCTCTGGGCTCCAGAAGGTTTTGATGCTATTCATCGAGGAACTTAATTTGCTTTCCTTCACTTCCACATCCTTCCTCAAAAGATCATTTTCTCTTAGTACTTCCTTCAGCTGTGTCTGCAGATCCATGATGGTGTTATCTCTTGCCTGACGAAGAGAGTGAGGTACAGTGGACGCCATACTAACAGGAGGGAGGTGATGTTCTCCAAATGCTATGGTATCACTAGCAACCCCACTGCTTGCTATATTGGGGCTACTGCCCATAGCAGTCATCCTAACACCATAAGGCAGGCGTCCCCCAGAACGACCCAGTGTCATGGTGCTTTTAGGTGTTTCTGAACCCACGTTTTCATGGTCACTTAGGTACATGGGGCCAGATGTAGCATAGGCAGCATTTAAGGACTGTATGTTCTCCATTGACAGGGTTTTCCCACTGCCACCTCCAACACTGTTTCCAGAACTCCCTCCTGTACTATTTGTTCGCCGATGACCTAAGCGAGGGGACCGTGGAAGCCGAGGAGATCGCCCAGGACTCTGGCTGCTTGGTTCCACTTTCCCTACTGATCGAGCACTTCCATACATGGTTGCAGGATGAACTTAGGTGCCAGAAATGGTGTAAAGCAAAAAACAACAACGTAATTCCGTGAGGTTTCTCTATGGCTATAAAGTCAGCTTAAGGCTATCAAAAATAGCAGGTCACCAGCTGTCCAATCTTGAAGAAATATCTTATGCCATATCTGTAATGAAAAGATCACACATTAAATCCCCAATAATAAATATTTCCCTTCTCAGAACTGTTCTATTACCTTTACTTGGGGAAGAATCTCCTTTCATTAGTATTCTCAAAGCTTTAAAAAAAATCACATTACCCACAATGCAATGTTTTTCTAACTGAAAATGTGAGAGTATCAACTGATAATTACAAAGTGACACACATCTGAAGAACAGAACTCAGACTATTACTCTCATAAGATCAATGTATAAATATCAATACTTGGATACATTATCAGAATAAAAGAACTCAATATATTAGTCATATATAAGATCAATATATAAACATTAATACTTCAACACATTATCAGAACTAATAACAGCTAAACATACTAGTCAGATGCAAGATTAATATTTAAATACCAATACTTCCATATACACTGGGAATAACAATTAGAAAATAGTTTTTACGGTTAGGAAGACGTATCTATCCATGGGTAAAGTGAGAACCTGAGGTCATAACTCCAGAACCCAGGTAGAACTGTATGCTACAGCATGCAGCTAAAATTCCAGTGTTCTTATGGAGAGATGGGACACAAAGAAGGGAACATTCCCAGAAGCTTAAGGGCCAGCTAGAGAACAAAGAGACCTTGTTTCAAACAAGATGAAAGCCGGACCAACACCTAAGGTTGATGACTGCCAACACTCAAACACATATTATACACACACACACACACACACACACACACACACACACACACACACGGCAGGGCAGGGTGCGGGGGAGAGCGAGAAGGAGGAGGAGAGAGTAGGACAGGGAGATACAGAAGAAAATAGGCTTTTAACTTAAAATAAACTCAGGCTGGGAATATAGATCATTTGGAAACAAGATCCGCCCAGCATGAACAAAGTTCTGGGCTTGAGCCCCAGCATTGCATAAAATGGATGTTGTAGCACACACATACCAGTAATGACAGCACAAGAGGTAGAAACAGCAGGGTCAAGGTCATCCTCATCTACAAAGTTCAGTTTGAAGTGAAACTCACGTACGGGAAGCCCTGCCTCAAAAAAACAAAGTCCTATCAACAGCAACAAACCTATATAATATTACCTTAAACATAACCAAAATCTTTAAGCATTTAAAACTCCATTGGAAGACATGTACCTCAAGAATAGACAGATAGACAGATAGACAGATGATAGATAGATAGATAGATAGATAGATAGATAGATAGATAGATAGATAGATAGATAGATGATAGATAGACAGATAGATAGACAGATGATAGATAAAAAGTTAGCCATGCTCCCACATGAGAAAACAAATACTTCTCGTGGGTTAGTTCTTCCCCCAGCTCATTCGCACAATCCCAGGGGGTTTTCACATTACTCAAAAATGCTGACTCTAAAATTCAAATGGAGGACTAAAAGTACAATAGCCAAACTAGCCAAGCATGGTAGAGCAGAGGAGGCAAGGCAGTAGAATCACCACAAATTTCAAGTCCATGTGGTCTATAAGCCAATTACCAAGACAATAGCCAAGGCCATATACTTAAAAAAAAAAAAGGCGACAAGACGAATTCATGAATAAAGGTGTTTGCCACATGTGGTGGTTTGAATGAGAATGGCCCCCACAAGCTCATGCTTGAATATCTGGCCCCTGTTGGTGAAATTGTTTAGGAAGGATTAAGAGGTATAGCCTTCCTTGTTGGAGAAGGCATGTCACTGGACCATTCTGAGTTAGCGCTCTGCCTCTCCTCTCGGCCGCTGCTCCAGATGTCTGCCACCATGTATGTCTCTGCTCTACTATTACAGACTCTTAACCCTCTGGAACTTAATGCCAATTAAACTCTTTTACAAGTGCTCTGTTACAGCAATAGAAAAGTAACTAATACCTAAGTCTGGTGAGATTAGTTCAATCCCCACAACCTACACAAAGTCAAAGGAAAAAGCCAACTCCACAAAGTTGTCCTTTGACCTCCACATACGCATGATGGTGTTCATACTCACATACATATATCCACATATACACACAGAATCAATTTTTTAAAAAGGAGAGGCTAGAGCAATGGTTCAGAGGTTAAGCACACTTCCTGCTTTTGCAAAGGTCCCAGGTTTGGTTCCCAGCACTCCCATGGCAGCTCACAACCATCTGCTCCCCAGTTCCAGGAGGTACACTGCCATCTTTGACCTCCATGGGCAGCGGGGATGCATGTAGTGCACATACATTCATACACATAAAATAAAAACAACTAAATCATTTTTAAAGAAAAAAATGGAACTAGATAGATGGCTTAGTGGTTAAGACCATTTGCTGCTCTCCCCTAGGATCTGACATCAGTTCCCAGCACCCACAGGGTGAAGCACAACTGCCTGTTATTCCAGCTCCAGGAGACCCAAGCCTCTGGCCTCCACAGGCAGGTGTATGCATGCATAGACATACAGCCACACAAAGTTTCATATATCCAATATAGTAAGAGCAAATACTTACTAAGACTATTTTTAGATACATAAAGAAGACATCCCCAGTGCAAGATAAGTTACAGGTCTACAATCCTTTATTTACAACATTTTTTAAAAACTAATTTTTAAAAAATATTTTTAATTATGAGTTGGGTGGTAGTGGCACACGCCTTTAATCTCTGGAGGCAGAGGCAGGTGGAGCTCTGTGAGTTCAAGGTTAGCCTGGTCTACACTGAGTGTCAGGACAGGCTTCAAAGCTACAGAGAAACCCCGCCTTGGGAAAAAAAAAAAAAAAAAGATTTTTAATTATGTGTGACTGCGAGTGTTCTCAGAGGTTGTCAGAGCCCTTGGAGCTGGAGTTACAAGTGGTTGTACACCATCTGATATGGATGTCAGGATCTTGGGGCCTCTGTAATAGTATAAACTCTAATACTGCTCTTCCTGAGGACCTGAGCTTGGTTCCTAGCATCCACATCAGACAGCTTACAACTGCCTGTAACCCCAGCTCCAGGGGAATCAGACACCTCTGACCTTTGTAGACACTTTCATTCATGTGCATACACACACACACACACACACCCCTAATTAAAACAATAAATCTTTTTAAAAAATATTTGCTGTTAGCCACTGAGCCATTTCTCCAGCCCCCCTCCTCACTTTTTGTAAACTAACTTAGTAGGTAAACCTATCATGATGCAAGATTTCCTAGTGTTTTTATCTGTAACACTGCATAGTATCATACATTTTATCAATGAAATAATGTGGATGATCAAAAGATACTGCATAATGCCCAATCATATTCTGAGAAAAATTCTGGGAAACAAAGTTGTATCAGATCATCATATTCTCATAAAGAATTATAGACTTTATTATAAAGACAGACATATCAGCATGCTTATAATTCCAGCTACACCGAGTCTGAGGCAGCCTGGGCTACACAGTAAGACCACATCTCAAAAACTAAAGAAAGATAAAATAAATAATACAATTAAACCAGCTGGGCATAGCTGTATTTGTTTGTAATACTAAACAATGGGGAGAATGAAGGCCAACGTGAGTTTTTACAAAGCAAGTTCCAAACCAAGCTAGGATATCTATATCAATATTAATGGAGAGAGAGAGGGAGAGAGAGAGGGAGAGAGAGAGAG